TAACTTCATGGGAAATTCAAATTGTACTATCACTGTAAATATTAATTAGCTTCTAAGATTTAGGAAATATTTATTGGTTTAAAATTTATTGAACCGTTTATATTTTGTACTTACCGTATTCGTTCGAATCTAAGACGCACCCTATTTCTTTGAATGATTATATCGAAGAAAAAAATTAGTCTTAAAATAAAGATGGTAAATAAGTAAATTACTTTATTACACAATAATGATAAAAACACAAACTTAACTTTATTTATAGTACCTATACAATATAAAAAGAACATTTTTATTCGCTATCTGTGTCTGAGTTATTTTCCAGTTCACTTACACTACTATTGCAATCCGATTCTGAATCAGTGCTATCTTCTTCCCACAAAAAATCATCCTCTGAACCATCTAAGGCGTTCGTAACACAATATTTTTTAAATGAATGCTTGATTATGTTTTCTGGAATTCGTTTCCACACTGATGAAACCCATTTCGCAACTATTGACGCACTAGCTTTTTTCATTTTTCCGGTTAATGTCAGTAGATGGCCGTCACTCATTAACCATAATTCGTATTCTTTTCTTAAATAATCCTTGAAGGGCTTATTAATTGAAACGCTTTTACATCTTCTGTTGAATGACCTCGAAATCCATCTAGTATTATCATATTTAATGGTTTATTTAGATATCCGCGTCGTCTGTTCCATACCACATTCACCCAATCTTCCATAAGGCCTGCCGTCATCCAGCCTTTCTTTTGCGTTCGAACTATAACATCACTAGCGAGTATTAAATATGGCAGTAATTTTTTACCATCAGCAGTAACACATAACATTACAGTGATTCGCTGTTTTTCGTAACCAGTTGTTATCAGTTTTACTTCTTTTTGTCCTTTCTCATTAATTGTGTAATTAGGAGGCATATCGATATATAAATTGGGGTCTCATCAGCGTTACCAATTTGACTAAATTCATATTTTTTTTCTTTCTAAGTTCAATTACGTATCTTTGAAAATTTGTTAATTTTTGTTCAAAATCTATTGGAAGCTTTTGGCATATTGATGCACCGACGACCTATGTAATTTCTAAGCTCTTTAATTACATCATCTGCCTTGTTACTGATAGTCCTTTTGCACGTTTTTCTTTGATAAAATCAATTACAGCATCATCGATGTGCGGAATTTTTTTTCGTTTAGGACCAGTAAGACCCTTGGTCGTTGCTTTGCATAAGAATATTGCCGAGCGGTGTTTTCTCCAACGCCGAATATTTGATTCGTTTATGTTGAATTGGCGGCTAGCTGCTCTATTACCGTTACTTTCCGCAAATATAACTTGTCGCTTTAATGCAGCGTCGTAATGAACCCTTTTTGTGGCCATAATAGATTGTTAAATTAATAAAAGTTGTATCGAATTTAGAAGGTGACACTTACACTGTTTAGGTAACAGAACCTATATAACAAAGTATGCTCGGAATTCACCCCAGTGAATTAGTAGGTTAACGCGATAAGAGAAAAAAATCCTATTTTTTATTATAAACAACAAAAATAATTGTTGTAAATTATTTTTGTTTGTTTGATTTAATTAGTTTTGTGGTATTGTTTTATTTTGTGTTTGCATCATATACAGGGTGATTTATTAGCTCACCATCAAACTGTGACATATGATAGCTAATACAATTACCAAAAAAAAAATTTGAATGATCATATGTCCGATTTCAATTATTTACGAAATTATAACACTTAAAGTTTTAATTTTTATATCGTAATTAACTGCAACATTTTTTTAAAACATAAACATTACAAATATTGTTCAAAATAGCCTCCTTCTGCTAGAATACATGCTTCACAACGACGAATTAAAATGTCTGGTTGATTTCTTATTTCAGTAGTAGCCATTTGTATTTTGTTTAATAACTGTTCTCGTGTGTTAATTTCCACTTGATACACAATTTGTTTCATTTGACCCCATAAGTAGAAATCCAATGGATTAAGGTCGGGGGATCTAGGTGGCCAAGCAAATGGTAAATTATTATTACCAATTGTAATTCGCGTTCTTATCCTTTTTTTTTAACAAAAATAAAAGAAATTTTGACAATGTAGGGAAATAGGTATGCAGCAGTTGGTAACACTTGAAAATAGAAATTTGAATTAACAATTAGAAACTGTCAAAACACAAAATGTATTCACCTGAAAAAAATGTTTCATGTACACCTCCGAAAATAAGAAAAATTGCTCAGTGTTCAATATCCTCATCATTGTGGACCTTGTATTCGGTGCTAAGAACGTGTTTAACACGGTGTGTTAACTCAATACGTATAAAAAAAGACAGATATTTAATGGGTACCACGGACGGCTAAATGGCACTGTAAGCACAAATTGCTTAAAGTCCCTAGATTTACAAAGTACCGCGGTTTGCCGCCATTTTGGCCATTTTGAAAGTCAAGCGTGAACTTTAAAACTATGTCGTTCTATTGATGACATTACGCCAAAATTCCTTTCATTTTTCTCGTGGTACTCTGAAGAGTCGAAAGTGCATGCGTTTTGTTGCAGACAAATCGAAGTGAAAACAAAATTCAAATTTTCACCAGTCAACATGAAAATGATACCTTTACTGTTATCATTTTCATGTTGACTGGTGGAACTTTGAAATCAATAATTAATAACCATTAACTGAATAGAAAACTTTTAAATTTCGCGCTTTATTAAATGTAGTAGGTACCACAGACCACTAGAGGTGTTGAAATCAATTTGACCGAAAAAATAGTGGGGAGTAATGCTTCTATATATACCGGGTGTCCCTCAAAAGTGGCTCACCCCCATATTTTTCTTTATTATTGGTGATATAAGAAAACCATTTGGAATGCATAGTTAGGTCGCTAAAACGGATTATTACGACATGAAATCATTCTTTTTGTACTTCCGGTTACACCGGATGTGAGTACTAATTTCGCTATTTTTTTAAATCTATAATTTTTTTTCTTCAGTTGGGTAGACAGTATAATTTCACATAACTTTTACTTGAAAAAATTTTCACGATCGCTTATAATTTTTGAAAAAAAAAATTATTTTCGTTATTTTTTAACGTTTTAGTACCTTCGGAAAATGTATTACAACTTTTGACGCATAGTAGCTATGTTAATAGTACAAACTACGTTATGCCCTTCTTGATTTGCTATTCCTCGAGCAGTGATCACTGCTATGCTTTAGTTAGTGGTTCTTTCTTAATAATGGTGTAAATTAACAGTTGTATTAAATTAGTTTTAAAAGAAAAACGCTATCCAACAGTTAAATTTAATTCAATTGTAACTTCAAAAAAACTAATTTCATTTTAATTCCAACGAGTCGGTACATCATTTTTTAATTTTAAAGCTGGAAGCTCCATTCGTTCTTGCGTTTCCCTTAGTTGGCTATACGCATGAGTGCTTTTCTTGATCTTACAATTTTTTTTAATTTATCCACTATTACGCGTACTTCTTTGAAGCCAGATTGCACGACAAGATTTAAAGAATGCGCGAAACAACCCCAATGCTTCCAACCCTCAATTCGTATTGCCAATTTCATATTTAATGCATTATCTGAAATGATTGCAGTAATCTTCTCACTTATCTCCCATTCATTCAATATAATTTTTAATTTATTAGCGATATTCTCTCCGGTGTGCTTATCCGCAAATGACACGCATCCCAACAAATCTGATGCTAAATATGTGCGTTTCTCCTCTTCAACGACGTAATGCGCGGTAACGCTATAAAAACTATCTTGATTCCTGGATGACCAACCGTCTACTGTTAGACAAATTGCAGTCGCCAGGAAAAGGGACAATGGTGAACAAAAAGTAGAAGAAAACGTTATGCTATCATATTTTTGGACGCAATAAATTTCTCAATGTAAATTTATTGTTTATGTATAGAGTAAAGTGGGGAAATATGCCACAGTTCAGTAAGTTTCGTCTAAATCGACACTAGATGTTGGTGTTAGCACCAAAACATTAGGTAGTGCAAGGTGGCAAGCACGTGTACATTATCTACAAATCAAATTAATCAAGTTTTTAGTAGATAACGTATAAAGGTAAGTACCCTTAAGAAAGTCTTCTTATGTGAGGTTATATGTAGCGATGAAAGCAGTTTTAAATCTTTTTGATCTAATTTGAATAGGGGTATGCCAAAGTATATAAAGAATATATTGAAACAAAAATCTAATAAAATAATTTTATTTCAACAAGAATCGCATGTAGCCCTATTCCTCAACACATGTTGCTATATTACCCAACTGCAAGGGGAATATAGCAATTTGATTTTTCCTGTTAATTTAATTCCTATTAAATCTACAGTCAATTTAACCTGGAGAGATGATCTACTGCATTTGTCTAAACGCCTAAAGAATGGCCTGTAAGCATTGTTTTATCACAGCATGTACAGGCTATGAAGTTATAAACGACCAAAAAACAAGTTTGCCACATTACCCCAATTTACTTTAATGATTTTTAAATAAATTTGATTTGTAGTTGAAAAACATGAGTAGTGGGTCATTATGGGCCCAATATTCCATGCAAAAATCGATGCTACTTGTTAAAGAGAAAAAAACACAAAATTTAATAAGCTGACGTCGTTTTTCAAGAAAAGATATGTATCAAAACAGTTTTATACGTAAATATTAGCTTCTAAGATTTGGGAAATATGTTATTAGTTTAAAATTGATTTAAAAGTAAGGTACAAGAGGGTAATAAGGGCCACCTAACAATTTTTTTAAATTTTTTCCGAATGAAACTCTTTTAAATAAAAATAAAATATATTCGCTTATCAAACTATTTATAAAGTATAAAATGTAACTAAAATAACGTCGGTTGTATACATAGCAACCCTGTAAAAAAATATTATATATTCAACATATGCGGTTGTTATTCTCCGGATCGGCTGAAAATAAAGCCCATCATTAACATTACTACAGTTTTTTTTGATTTAAACAAGTCTTTTGTAACTTCTTGAGCCCTATAGTTTAAGGCCTTTTTTCTCGGCCTAGTACACTTTTTTTTCTGGTAATTCAGGCGTTTTCAGTATATTACTGAACGCATTTTTTTCATTTGATTTTGAAGGTCCAGGCAGATCTTCGGCTCTCTTTCGAGTTATGTTGCCCATCAAACGTGTACGAAGTACAGCCAACGGTATGTTCGCGTCATCGTCAGAACTGCACGACTCCTGGTTGCCGACAGCAGGACTAGTTAACAAAGAAGTCGATGAAGTTTGATTTTCAACAGGCCTACATACCAAAGACGGTGCATACGCCACGTCTGGAATAGCTCGAGGGTTGAAAGGGTATATGCCAGTAACTCTAAAGCCACTGGTAATGTTGGCTACGGACATACACTTTTCCCATACCGGTGTAAAGATATGTGAAAATCTGTCTTTAGTCAGCTTACGATCTGGTGTTTGATCCCAATACGTCATCAACTCCTCGTCCCAGAAATGTTCAAAGGACCTAAACACTGCTCGATCCAGCGGCTGCAATTCATGGGTGGTATTGCTAGGTAAACAAAACAGAGGAATCTCCAATTCTTCAGCCTTCTGTGCAACCATCATATCAAGATTCGACGTAGCACCATCAAAAATCAGAAGAACTTTGCCTGTGGGTTTGTACTTTGCAAAATGTTCTAGCCATTTACAAAACAGTTTGGTAGTCATACTACCTTTTGGGCTCATTAACACAGCTGACCCAGCAGGAAGACCATCTTGAAAAGTAGGTTTCTGACGTATGCCCTTAAAAAGAATCATGGGTGGTATTGCGTTACCCAAAGCGTTAACGCATGCCACAACAGTTGAGTTTTCCGCATGTTCTTGGGCTACAAGATGAACTCTTTTGGTTCTTTTTAGGACCAACACGGATTGCTGATGATGCAATGTTAAGCGGCAGCCCTTTTCATCCATATTGAAAATTCGCTCAGGTGTATGTAACATTTTATTCTTTTCAAGAGTGAACCGTAATTTTCTGAAATAATCGTTAACAATAAAACGATTTAATTTCTGAGTTCTTGCTGGATTCATACACTGTGCGCGACGCTTACTTAAACGTGGGTGACGTTTTTGGAAGGCGCTGAACCAATCCTTTCCAAGAATTTGGTTATTTTTCTTTTTTTTCAAGTTAATTCTGTTTGCCTTAATGAAACTGTATATATTTCTCCGAAGTGATTTAGGTGTCAAGGGCATACCAACTTCCGCCAGTCGGATTATTCTATTTTCTAGATCTTCCTCCTGTTGCTTTGATAAAATTGGTTTCCTTCCCAGTGATCTTTCTGTAGATCCACTCTGCATATGAGCTCTTAACGTACGCCGCGGAATTCCCGAACGCCTTTCAACTTCCCTCTGGGAAAGTCCTTGTTGAAGGAGTTGAAGGGCTTCTTCCATCATTTCTGAGGTCCAATTGGCTCGGATACCTCTACACGGTTTTCCCATCTATTTATCAAAACACAGTTTCGGAATGTTAGCGTGTTGTAAAATAAGGCCTAACTGCCTAGAAATACGGCCCATACTACTTGTACTATATATTTTGTACTTTTTTGATTTAACAATAAAAATGCAACTTTTAAATATTTGGATTTTTATTTACAAAGGAGAAACAGTCCTAAACGGAAACGTCCCTAAGTGTTACTAAGTAACACTTACTTACCGGCCTTGTGATGTTATAGCTCACTTACCGGACTCAAATTAATGATGTAAACATTAATATAGCGGACAGCATAAAATAAACATCAATATAGCGAACAGTACGAAATAAATATTATTCTTACTTTTACTCTAACAAAATGACATTTAAAGAAATCACTCAGTTTGAAGGCTGACAATGAGCGATTTCACGACTGCTTAACATGACAACCTATGATTTGCGGAAACTGGAATAAAACTTGCCGAGTTATAAAATTATAGAAAATTCCACCGTCTACGAATCCGTTTTATGTTTAATGTAGTTTTGTTTTTTAACGTAGGATACCACCGATGGAAATTTTTTATCGTTGAAATTTAACCATTTGTAGCAACCCTTCTTAGGCAGGAAATATTCCGTCTATGACGGAGATTGAGTAATGTTTAAACAGTCGCCGCCAACTTCCGTATGTCCTGTTTGCACGTAACATCTGCCACGGGGAATAAAAGTATGTCACGTTACTAGATATCGTGAGTAAACAAAACGATCAAATCACATCCGTATCCTTTTTTTAACATCATTATAGACAAGAAAAAAACGCCGGAAATTTAAATGCCTCAATATATTAATTTATCAATAACAGCTCAACTCTAAAATCTCATTATTAAGAATTTCTTCAATAAAATATTTCCGTGTATTGAATTTCTATAAGTATTCTATTCCAGATCGGGCGATGATATAGTTATTGAGAACGTCCGAAGGGGATTACACCCCATATTCCATTATGTCACCGGTCAGAGACATCGTTGTCGTAGGGAACCGAATCCGAAGGTCGCCGCTTTGTGCCCTTTTAACCCTCCGTCCACCGTTGTCGACGTTGAAAATCGTAGAAGAGACGCGACTATGCTTTCGTTCCGGTGAGCGAAGCGCTAAAATTGAGTTTTTATTCCGGCCTATTACCGGGTCCATTGTCGGGAGCGGTTCGCAAAATTGGGTTTGAATTGAATTTCTCTATAAGGTGTGCGAGAGAAAAATCTCCTTAGCGTTTACTTCGGGGGCATCGAGCGCACCACTGTTGCGAGTCGTAAAGATCACGGAGTAGGATGAGGGAGACGCAGAAAGAACGAGATTTTAGGATGAAAGGCTAAAGCCACGTCGAATCCTCACCATTGTCCGGGAAAAGAAGGTGGAAAAAGAAGCGGCATTGGCAATGGTGTCGTGTACAATTTAATTTCGAGGGAAAAGTGACATTTGTCCAAAAGAGATTCAGACAAGTTTTAAAAGATTACCACATACTCACGATAAATCGGCCTATAATTTATAAATATTAATGAAGCTTAATTGTAATAAGCACTTCTAACAGGATAAGAACTTACTACTGTTGTATTCGTATTTGCAAATACAGTAAAACCTCGATATAACGGACTAATACGGAGAAGAGAGTGTCAGTTATGGCCAAAAGTCCGTTATATGAAAAATTTTTAATTTGCACTTTAAACTGTTTGAATAAATAATTTGAATGCACACAAATTCAAAAAGCTATCCACATAGTTGCGTTCAGTGTATCTGGCTTTATATTTATACCAAGGATAAGGGGACTGCTACATTCCGGGATCAGATGCACAGCTCGAAGGCCCGTTCGTGACGTCACGCTTACCTATGCGCAACTACTATTTCACACTTTAACCCTTTGTGTCCCAAGAAGTCAAACATTTTGAAACTTTGTGACAGAATTAAAACGCTATCAAAATGCACTCAGTAAAGGCCTTTGGAATAAAATTTTAGCAAAATATGCAATCCCCCTATTTTCGCATAGTCTAAGTGTCAAAACAGATGCTAATTCAAAAATTCCTGGAAAGCGTGTTTATTGAAATTAAGAAATAAAACTTATTTTAAATTGAAGCTTAAAGCTTTCTGTTTAAATCGATGTATAACAATCGATAGGTTGAATTAGAAAAATATTGAGAAAAAGAGTGTTAACTAACATTTTCGTATAACCTAAAAGTGTCAAAAAAGATGCTAATTTAAAAATTTTGGCTAAAGTTAACAATACTACAATTCATATTGGATCTATGATGGATATTAGTGACGTTGATCCTTAGAAGTAAGATTAAACATGTAAAATAGGACTGTACTTTTTCTGTTTATGTTGGCAGAGAACAATAATAACTTACTCTTATCGGAGTTAATAACTAAATTATGCTTTTCTGAAAGGCTAACTAGAACATCCAGGTCTTCGTTATGTATTTGCGAAACAGCAATATCTTTTTCATTAAAAGATGAATATATCTGAGTATCATAAGCATGATACTTACAATGACGCAAAAAGTCGTATAACCGGCATGTATACGCCGTATACAAAATGGAACCCAATACAGAACCCTGAGGTACACCAGATATAACTTGAGTGGGTCTAGATCTATTTGCATGTATCATGGCACTTTGTGACCTACCCCCCAAATAGTCAGCGAACAACGATATCGCACCACACCCAACGCCCATGTAGTGCAAATACTCAACAACAATGAATGATTGATAGTATCGAAGGCGTTCGAGTAGTCCAACATAACAAGCGCCGACATACTAATCGGTCTTAAATCCGACACCGCATTAGGATTACTTGCTTTAACGATAGGTAAAATGATCGACTTTCTCCAGCAAGATGGAAAAACATGTTTAGTTATACAAAAATTAAAAATGTGTCTGATGAAATTTATGATCAAGGGAGAACATATGTTTATCATAGATATAGAAAGATGGTCAGCTCCCTGAGTATTGGAAGAAACAGCGCTTAAGGCATCTCCTACCTCCCAATACTTCCAACAGTGCAAAAATTACAGTAAGCAGCACTTGCAGAGTTAAATGCATCTATGTTAAAGTACGGCATAATCAAAGAAAGTGCATTTTCAAAGCTATCCAAAAAACCATTAACATTGTTATAAGGTCTGTAAATAACTCCAACTGTAATATATTTTTTATTTTTGATATGTATATTAAACCACAATTGCTCAATGTCATCCACCATATCCTCAAATATGATTGTCTACTTATAATTATTTTTAATATAAAACCCCACACCACCACATCTCGTTCGTTTAGGAACGTGATAAAAGTGTAACCTACGATAGCTAAAAAAGCAACATCGACATGCTGATCCAGCCATGTCTCCGAAACTTCAACCACATCATAACCATGTAAAAGAATTAAATGCTTAAATTTATCAAAATGCGAAAAAATTGACCTAACATGTGCAATTGTAAAATTCATTCAAAATTATAATAATTATACAAAAATAATAGTAATCGATAATGGAAAAAAAGCAAGAATCAAATGCCAATCTCGCTCATTGCAGATACGCATTAAATACAAAATTAAACATACAATATATGTATATACATTAACACGACGACTGCCGAGATTTTGTGGAAGCAGTATAAATCTACTGTTTTCGCGTGAATTATGTCGTAATCTGGCAGTCAACATGTTCATCTATCGTAAAGACCAACAAGACAGAAATAAATATAAATATTTAAAAAAAAACAAGATAATAAATCAAAACAATATAAACAAATAGAATAATAAAGAAAAAGGATACAAACAAAATTTTTTCTGTGTCAACATAAACAGAAAAGGTACAGTCCTATTTTACATGTTTAATCTTACTTCTAAGGATCAACATCACTAATATCCATCATAGATCCAATATGAAATGAACTGGTTCAGAACCAGTTCCCGAAGAAGGTTGCAACATGACATCCGTAAAGTCAAACCTTTTCTTAAAAGACGCACGGCGAAATCCGAAAGTTTCTAGTGTTAGTTCTAGTTTTAGTTCAATTGTTCATCTGTGATTCTGGATTGGCAATCATATATTACCACTGGTCTAGTAAGACTTTTATATAAACACTTTTATATAAAGTGGTGCAACTTGAGCAATATACACGCCGCAATAATTTACGTATATATGGAATTTTTGAAAATAATAATGAAAGTGTTGAAGAAAATATCTTGCAGATTTGTAAGGAAAAATTAAATGTTGACCTTCCTTCTACATCTATCGACAGATGTCATCGTGTTGGTGCGCGTAGTGGTTCTAAACCGCGCGGTATTATAGTGAAATTTATCAACTATAAATATCGCAATAAGGTTTTTAAATCCAAGCGGCTGCTAAAGGGCTCTCAAGTTATAATCAATGAAGATTTAACCAGGAAAAATTACGAGTTGTTGATGATGGCTACAGAGAAATATGGTCGAAGAGAAGTTTGGTCACGTGATGGAAAAATTTTGGCTAGAGTTAACAATATTACAATTCATATCGGATCTATGATGGATATTGGTGATGATGGTGTGAACTTTAGAAGTAAGATTAAAAATGTAAAATAGGACTCTACCTTTTCTGTTAAAAAATTTTGTTTGTATCCTTTTTTTTTATTATTCTTTTTGTTTATATTGTTTTGATTTATGATTTAATGTCTTGTTTTTTTTTGTTATATTTATATTTATTTCTGTCTTGTTGATCTTCACGATAGATTGAAATGTTGACTCCCAGACTACGACATAATTCACGCGAAAACAATAGATTTATACTGCTTCCACAAAATCTCGGCAGTCGTCGTGTTAATGTATGTATAGGTGTTCCGAAACTCAACCTCAAGCGGGCACCGAGTGAGTGGCCAACCCATACCTGTTCTGGTAAAAATTAGAAAAAAATTCCATGTCTCTTAGTTAAGTAGTAATACTTAATAATATAATAAATTTGTTTGTTTAATTTTGTTTTTAGGTTAACCTTACTTGAAAGAGTCTTTTTGCAAGACAT